AAATCGGGCAAGTGTATCTTTAAGCGGTGGAGTTTGAATACGTGTTGTAATAGCTTCACGTGTTGTCGGCCGTATTTTTATTATCGTTTTTATATATTTTTACATCTTCGGACCAAAGAGGACGTTTATGAGTTTTGTTTTTTGATTAGCCAAAAACTCGAATTTATTTGTTTTAGATAAAAGTTGTTCAAACAATTTTCAAGACAATATTATAGTATTACGACAAATCTAAGGAAGGTCAAGTACGTCCAAAATACAAATTCATATTTTTCGTTAAACTCTTTGTTAAATGTACTGTGTACGTGTGTATACACATAAAGGGACATGAAAAATCGTGTTGGTGTTCTTAATCAAACAAAGACGAAGATTTAGCGCGAAGTTAGAGACAGTGGGTTTGATCTTTATATTTTACTTTGTTGATTACTTCTTCTTTTTACCTTATTTAATTACTACTAATTTATCGGTTTAACCAGAGAGTGTTCGCATGTTAATTGTCGATGTCTCTTTGGACCGAGAGAGTCTTCACATGTTAGCTCCTTCTTTCGTGTTGAAACCTTTTTTTTTTTTTTAACTCAACTAGTATGTTAGACATGTTTGTAGAAACTGAAATCAATAGCAAGGTCAACATTTGTGGATGTTAGAATTAAAAACAACAACAAAAAACTCTCTTAAAGTTAATGAAAAGATGTTACAAATGATGAATACATCAATCAACTTAACGTAATATATTCAATTCCTTATAAATAAACCCCGTAATAGTTTCCAATTCAACACACAAAATACAAAACCATGGGAAAGCAAGTGAGAGCATCTCCGGCGATCTTCCTCCTCGTCATCCTTCTGGTGACCACCGGAGAGACGACGGAGGCGAAACCATGGTGGAAGAAAGTCGGAGATTCCATCGGAGGCGTCTTCGGAAAAGTAGGAGAAGCGGTAGGGAATTTCAAAGCAGTGGAGATGGGATTGTCTTTAGATGGAGGATCTTGTGTAAGAGAGATTTTGTCAGTGAGTACGAATGTGTTCGATGAATGGTGCATTGCTCATAACGATCCAAGAGCTCCAATGTATATGAATATTGAGAATATACCAACTGATGTCTCAATCGGATCCATTTTGAAGAAGCCTATTGATTATATCCAGAAACATTATCCTAATTTTTGGAAAGCTTGGAGCTTCAACCAGAAGAGTAAGAAGAAGAAGCCGAGACGTGCACTTTAGTTTTTTACTTTTTTTCTTGTAGCCTTGTTGTTTTTCTCTGTTTCGAGACCATGCAGATTCGGTATTTTTTCTCAT